CTGCAATTTTCTACATGCATTTGGAACTACTTTCAGAGAATATTGTATAATCTTTTCAATGTTCTCTGTAGTAGAAAATCTTGCGTTTGTTTTGATTTTTTTGAGACAAGATCTCACTTATATAGTTTAGTCTGGCCCTGAACTCACTATGTAGCCCAGGCTGGCTTGAATTTACAACAATCTTCCTGCCTTAGCCTCCCTGGTACTGGGATTAAAGGCATGAACCACCATACCCAACCTAAATGTGATTTGTTTGTTTTTAAAACAGGGTCTTGCTATGTATTCATGCTGATCTTGAACTCACTATATGGCCCAGGATGGCCTTGAATTCTCTGGGATCCTCCTGCCTCAGCTTCCTGAGTGCTGGAATTACAGCTGTGTGTCACCATACCTGGCTAGAAGTGATTTTTTTAATAGCCAAAACTTAGAGTCAAATCTGATGAAAAATAAGTTTAAAACATTTTAAAAAATCAAACATAATTCTATAATTATCTTTTTTGGGGGGGGGGGTACCAGGGATCAAATTCACAACCTTGTGCTTATGAGGCTGGCGTGGTGCCACTGAGCTAAATCCCTGGCCCAATAATTATCTTGTTACTATGCATTACTTTATTCATAGCACTTCAGAGCCTAGTAATCTACTTATTGCCTATCTTTCCACTAGCAATAACAACATAAACTTATAAGGCCTTCTCCTATATCATCAGCACCTAAAATAGTACATGGGAGAAAATACCTATTGTAAATATGGGTTCAACTGAATTCTCAATGACTATTTGGAAAGGCAATACTTCTTTTTTATTATTCATAATGTATTTAATTTTTTGTTTTGTTTTGTTCTTTTGCAGAACTGGGGACTGAACCCAGAGCCTGCTCACTGAACTACATCCCCAACCCTTTATTTTTTATTTGAGATAAGGTCTTGCCAAGTCACTAAAGTTGCTGAGGCTTGGTTTAAATTTGCAAACCTCTTACCTCAGCCTCCCAGGATGCTGGAATTACAGGAATAGACCATTATGGTATGCAACATTTGTATTTTATTTTTATTTTTTTGGTATCTGGGATTGAACTTGGGACCTTGCGCTTGCAAGGCAGGTGGCAGAACCAATGAGCTAAATCCCCAGCCCAACACTCCTTTGTTAAATGTTTTATTAGCCAGGCAATGGCACATGCCTGTAATCCTACCACTCAGGGAAGCTGAGACAGAAGGATCATAAGCTCAAGTCCTGGCCGGGCAACCTGGTTTTAAAACAAAAAAGCTAGGCACGAAAGTCTCAGGTTCAATCTCCAGAACCACAAAAAATTAACTAACTAATTATTTTTTAAAAGGCACTGGGATTGTAGCTCAGTGGTATAGTGTCCCTAGGTGTGAACCTCTGCATCAGAAAAAGTCTTTTAAATTTATAGTCACATCTTACATATTCAGAAACTCTTAGGTTTAACTGGTATAGCACACTAAGTTCAAAACCACACTCTCCTATCTTCTAACCAAACCATGACATGACACCATAAAAAAAGAACTGGAAATTCTGAAATTTTGGTGGAAACTATCAGTATAGCACCTTAATTCAAAGGGACTGAAATTCACGTACTCAACTTAATATGATAAATCACTGGGAAGACTAGTGTGGAGGTACATACTGGAAATCCCAGGTACTTAGGAGTCTGAGGCAGGAAAACTCTAAGTCTAAGGCCAGGCTGGATATTATGGTTTAACTCTAAAAATCACTCTCCCAAAGTCTGCTGTCAGAAGCAGGGCTTTTGGAAGGTGATTGAATAATGTGAGGGGTGGGGGGTGGGGTTGAGGGGGGTAGGGGGTTTGAGCAAGAGTACTATACTCCCACATTGACTAATTTATAGCTGAATGTGCTATTGGTGGTGGGACCTGGTTGGAGGAGGTGGGTCACTAAGGAAATGATCTGGAAGGGTATATTCTTGTCCCAGGCACTTCCCTTCACTTCTGCTTCCTTGCTGTCATTGTTGAGCAGCTCTCCTCTGCCATGCCTACTCTGTGGTTTTTGTCTTGAAGCCAAGAAGCCTTGGATTGAATCCTCTAAAACTGTGAGCCAAAATAAAGCTCCCCTCCTTTAAGTTGCAGGTTTCAGGTATTTTTTCCCAATAACAGAAAAGTGACTGACTCAAGAGAACTGGTGGCAAAAGTGGGGCAGTTGCTATGACTATACCTGACCATGTGGTTCAAAAGCCTTTGAAACTGGTTTAGGGAAAAGAATCTAGGAAGGTTTAGAGATGCTGGCTAGAGAAGCCTTAAAATGCTGTAAACAGGAATTAATGGGAGATTCTAGCTGGAGCTCAGAAAACCAAAAGGCTAATAAAAATACAGACAGTAAAGTTCAGGCTCAGGAGGTTTTCAGATGAGAACAAGGCTCTAGTGTTCATACATGTTATATTCTGGCAAATAACTTGTCTACATTTTACCCATGTCCTAAAATTATGTGTGGTGCTAAATTTAAAGTCAGTAGTCTAAATTGAAAGGCAGCAGACTAACTGATCTGGTGGAGTAAATTTCAAGGCACGCAACATTCAGGCTGTGGCATGGATATTGCTGGCTACCTGATCTACAATGAGAATCAGAAGAGGAAAGCAGAGCTCAAAGATGTGAAAATTTTGCAGACAGGGCAGAAAGGAATCACACGTAAAGTTGGCCTCAAGGAAAGTGTAGCTAATAAAAAGATTAAAGGTGTTTTTAACCACTTAACAGTTTACCCTGAGCATCACTCAGGCAGTGTTGCTTGGGCCAGTGTCATTTCAACAAGTCCATTCTTGCACTGAATAAATTTGATAAAATTGTCATTTTCATATTTTCTGTTATATTACCTTATAAAATTTAACCAAAAAAATTGCAATTTTTGGTCATTGTATATTTAAATAATTAGACTGGTAAGTGGTTAAGAAGCCAAGTACTGCCAGGTGGTGCATGCCTGCAATACCAGTACTCAGGAGGCTGAGGCAGGAGGACTGCTGTGAGTTCAAGCCTGGATTACATAGTGAGTCCAAGACCAGCCTAGACTATACACAAAAAAAAGAGGCAAGTGCACTACACTAAAACAATTAAAAAGATGCCTTGAGGGCATCTCAGGAATTGGCTGGACTACAACCTTCTCAAGCTCAAGGGTATAGAGAGCCAACTCCTTTAAAAGACTAAGAAAATAGCCCCATGGGCTGGGGAATTTAGCTCAGTGGTTCCAGCGCCTGCCCTGCAAGTGCAAGGTCCCAAGTTCAAGTTCAACACCCGGTACCAAAAAAAAATACAGAAAATAGCCCCAGGATACTCTGCTCATTCAGGGCTGCCAAGGAAAGTGTATCCCAGAGTCAGCCATCCAGTCACTCAGAAGCTACTGTAACCATGATCCAAAGGGGTCAGCTACTGCTCCATCTGGCAGCAGACCTTGGCATCATCCATGTGTGCTGCTTTTTCAGACATACAAAACACAAGAGCTGTGGGTCAGGGAGGCTTCCATCTCAATTTCAAAAGAAAGGCCTAGGAGGTCTGGCAATGCTCCTGAGGCCAATGCTTAAAGCTGTGAAAGTAAAGCCAAACATACAATGGAGACTCTAGGAAGTTGGGAGATGCCCGAAAGGTAAAGGAAAACTACAAGGAGTGAGAGAGAGGTCACGTGGACTGCAACCAGCAAGATCATAGGGCTGGGGTTGCCCAAATCCTTTGGAGCTCATATCTTACTACAACTTGCCCAAGGTGCTGGGCAAGGAGCTATAGGATTTAATGTTTGCCCATATGGTCTTTGGTCTTGCTGTGGTCTAATTCCTTTCTATCCCCCTATTCCTTCCCTTTGAAATGGAAATGTTTTCCCTACAGCACTGTATGTTAGAAGTATTTAACTTTCTTTCTGATTTTTATAGAAGCTCACAGCTCAGTTTACCTTGACTCCTACAGGATACTTAAGACTTGAACTTTTCAGAAATGCTAATACTTAAAGAGACAGACTAAATGCATTTTTCCATGAGATAGACATAAGCCTTGTGGGGGCCAGGGGCAGAATGTTATGTTTTATATTGGCAATGCCCCCCAAAAGTCTTATGTGCTCAGAGGTGGGGCATTTTAAAGATGACTGGAGGCCCGTTGGGGCTGGGGATGTAGCTCAGCAGCACAGCACCTGCCTGGCAAGCATGAGGTCCTGAGTTCAAACCCTAGTACAAAAAAAAAAAAAAAAAAGATGATTGGACCATGGAGGTCACCACACTCACCAGTGGATTAATCCATTGACAAGTTCATAGCTACATTTGCTATGAGGAAGTGGGGCCTGATTGGAGGGTATGAGTCACTGGGGGCATGACCTGGAAGGGTGTTTTCTTATTCCTAGCTTCTAACTTTGCTTTCTGCTTCTTGGCTGCTATGGTTTGAGCAGCTCTTCTCGGCCATGCCCTTTCACCACGAGGCTGCAGCCTTAGAGCCAGCCAACCATGGACTGAACCATCTAAAACCATGAGCTCCTCCTTTAATTTGTAGATGTTCTTGCCCCAGTGACAGAAAGAAACTAATACACTGGGCAACAATGAGGCTGTCTCAAAAAAAATGGACAAATCTTATATAAAATCTATCAACACTGACAACTCTAACTTAAAAAAACAAAACAAAACAAACTGTTCCAGTCAACTGGAATGTTGAGAATATTTCCACTTATAGTGTATAAAAATACTATTTTCTACCAAAATAGTATATAATTTTATAACCAGAATATAGTTCATCTTCTAAAAGCTTCTTTTTTTCCCATTAAGTTTACTGGTACATTTTAGGTATAAAATAGTTACATTCATCATTGGGATCTTGTACCATTACATGAGTATCTTGGTTCTTATTTTTTTCCCCTTCCCTTGCCCTCCCTTCATCCCCTCCACCCTTCCCTATTTATAAAGACTTTGATTCCATTTTTTTAAAAAGCTTCTTCCATTCAATGTTTAAGGCACAACAAATGAATCAAAACAAAATCCACTGAGGAAATGATCACCACTATCAAACTTACCGGATCAATAGTAGGCAAAACATCTTTCTTTTCTAGGCCCTCAACCTCATCTTCATCTGTGCTGTATTCTTCCATTGTTTCGCCACTAACAAAGTGGATGACCCTCCTTGGGACTTTCTTCTTTTTTCCTATGACTCCTAGTTCTACATTTTCAAAGTCTCTTTCATTACTCACCTGTATCAATAATAAATTAAGAAAAAGAGTGTCAAATGAGATTTTCTTTCATCACACACGTTTGATTATTTTAAGAACTAAGGAAATATAATACAGTTCTTAGACAATTTAAAAAAAAAAAAAAAAAAGCACTCTGCCACCTGCCTCCCAAGTGCAAGGTCCTGAGTTTGATCCCTGGTTAAAAAAAAAAAAAAAAGCATAGCCACAAATGTCCTATGCCTGAACCTCCAGATATCTTAGTCAAAGCTATATAGTGTCGTGTACAACCCCCCACACACACACCTTACTAGGGACTGAACTCAGGACCTTGAGCTTGAAGGGCAGGCGTGGCACCACTGAGCTACATCCCCAGCCCTTAAGACTTTTTTGATAGTAAAAAGATTTACAAATTTTAAAACTACTTGAACAATAGTCTATGGAAGTCTAATTATATCCAAATTTTACTCCTAAGGAAATTTCATCTTACACATACAGCTATGCTCCAAACTGAAATTAAATGTACACTGTGGGAGATGGTGAAGAGCTCTTGTAATCTTTTGGAGGGTACTGGGGATCTAACTTGGGACCTTGCGCTTGAGAGGTAGGTGGCAGCACCACTGAGCTAAATCCCCGGCAAGCTCTTGTAATCTTATCTCACGTTTACAAGCCTAAGAAAGCATCTTAGTAGATTTCAAAAAGGCACAGTACACATAATTGTGAAAGAAAATCTAGCAACACTGGCTACCTCCACAGACAGGAACTAAGATGGAGGAGAAGGTACAGGCAAGTGAGTAGTCAGACGGCCTTTTTTTTTCTTTTTTGCATTTTGTTATTTGGTGCTGTTATTAGTTTATGATGAGAATATGTTCATGTACTATTGGTACAATTTGAAAACTAAACCAAAGTAAAACGATACAGGACTATAGAACTACCATAATTAAGGTCCATATTGGTGGGATTCTCTACAATAACCCAGGGTTCAAAATTTTTGTCTTCTATGATTCTTAGGATTGTGAGCAAACAATTGTTCAGCCACTACAAAAGTTCTTTGAACTGGTGTTGCAGAGATGGATTTACTGATAAACATAGTAGACTAGAACTGTTCAGTTATGTTAAGTATAAGCAACTTTATTTTTATGTACTGCTCTCCACTAATCCTTAGGAAACAGGGTTCTTATCTGTCCTTCCCAAAGGTAAGTTCAGTCATTAGCCAGGATTTTTTTTTTTACATATTTTTCTGTGACATACCTAGATATCACTGGCAGCAACTATAAGTGCTGTGCAATAACCTACAGACCATGAAAATTTTGGTAACACAGGCTATTTATGGATTAATCTGAAAAAATTTTCACAATTGTCATTAGCCTATTCAGAGGAGTCCAACAAATCCCAGCCCTCAACATGTAAGGACCAGCCCATTTACAGTATCCGTGATCAAAATGGAAAGCAAGTGGTTCACCCAGGCCTCTTTCCATACTACCCACCCCCAAAATCCCCAGGCACCTAGAGCCATTCCTACCCAAACTCATGTTTTATAGCATCCTGGTATCAATTCTTTTTACACCATGACTTGGCCTTTTAGACCCCAGAGAAGCCAGGTCAGATCTGCAGGCATCCTAGTAACTGGATGAATCTATGCCAATGCAACAGCCCTAGCCAGGGACCAGAGCTCAGAGCTTTCACAGGACATCACCATGTCATGCCCCACCCATCCCATTGCACCTTAGAAGAGCGGAAGCCCATTTAACAATCTTTCATGGCTAATATTTCCTTTTTTTTAAAGACACAGGCAAATGAGAAAAGATGTCTCTCAATGGCTTGAGTATTTTCCTTAGACATCTTTAATAAATCAAAACATTCTGGCTGGGTGAGAAAGACTAGTATAAAAAAATCTCTATTAACCTTGACTCTTGGCTAAATTCTTTCCAAAAGACTTTTAAAAAACTATAAAAGGGAAAGGCTGAAACACGATTCATATTTTTTATTCTAATACCAAAATCAGATAAGTATAAACAAAATTTTCAGTAACATTCTATCTATATACTTTTTTAAAAGGAATTCGATTTATTCTAGTCATCATAGTTCATATGAAGATTTTTATTCAAGAGACTTTAAAGCTTTTATTTTTAAAAATTTAGTATTATCTGGGCATGGAGGGGCACACCTGTAATCTCAGGGCTTGGGAGGCTGAAGCAGGAGGATATGAGTTTGAGGCCACTCTGGGCTACATAGTGAGTTCAAGATCAGCTTGAACTACACAGCAAGACTCTGTCTGAAAAAAAACCTAACTAAATAAATGTATTAGCTTTTGATACAGTAAATCTTTAGTTTTATCATTTTAAACAGTCAGCAAACTTTCCATAAAGGTCAGATGGTAAGTATGTTAGGCTTTGCAGACCAGAATGGTCACAACAGAACTCTAGGAAGGCAACAATGGACACAGAACCACTTACATGCACACTACATCATGAGTGGGAGTGGCTGGTGTTCAATAAAACTTCACAGAATCAGATGGCCAGCTGGTTCTGGCTCCTGCCTGTGGTTTGTCAACCCTTGCCTTAAGAAACCAGACTGGTTGAGTCAGGGATTTAGCTCAGTGGTTCTACCGCTTGCCTTGAAAGCGCAAGTACCTGAGTTCGATCCCCGGTACCCCCCACCCCACCTCCTAAAAAAGAAACCAGACTGGCAAGTAAAAAAGTCTGTGAAACACAATCTATGACATGTGATTCCAACTTGAATTTAGTGGGTAGGGGCCAGTGAAGGGGGGCATTGCCATGTAGAATGAACTAGAAAATAATTTCCTTCAAACTTCCCAACAATTATATATAAAAATTATTTACTCTGAATTTTCCCAGTGTTTCACTTTTGTAAACAGCAAACATGTAAACAGTGAACATTTTTTAATTGTCATTTTTATTACGTCTTTGAGACATATCCTACACTTGCAATTTATTGTGTCAACTTCCCCAACTAGGTTGTTAGCAACCCGGGGGTTGAGCACTGCTATATTCTTTACCCATCAGTTCCTGGCAAACAGTAAGAGTAACACCACTTCTTCTAACAAAGGTGCTAAATGAGTAGTCCTGAAATTTAACTCCTTTGATGATACTGCGGCTGAGATTCTGGTAAAAGTCTATTCAGAGAGCCTGCTGGATAGAATGTCACAACAGGCCTGGATGGCCTGGTTAGAGACCCAATTCTAAGCACAGATCCAATCACACATCTCAAAATCCTTCCTCACATGGGGTGTGTTCTGATGAACTTGGGAAGGAGTCTAGAATGACAGCCTTTCCCTCCACCCAAATCTCCACCTCACTGACCTTTTCCTCTTACTGTGCTCAAAACTCCAACCTAAACCTGGAGTTCTTACAGATGTTCCTGCTTCCAGAATATGAGTAAGAAAGCAAACAGGACATGTCCAAATCCCAGCACTATGGGAGGCTAGGAGTGTAATTCAGTGTGAAGGCCCAGTATGTCAAAAAAGAAAAAATTAAAAACCAAAAGTCTGAGCCAGGTGCACACATAGCTAAGTAGTATAGTACTTTTTTAACCAAGAATATGAAAACAACAGCACTAAAACCAAAACAGAGCCTTTCATTAAAACAACATGTAGCTTGGTAGATCAGTATAGGTGTGTTTACTTTGCTATTAGAGAGTAAAAGCTGAAGTAAAAGCTGAAACTATTCTAGTGACAAAGGGAAAAATCAAATGGAAAAACACACAAGCACTGTGAACCAAAAGGAGGTTTGGTTCAAGTGTACCTGTTGACAACAGGTCTAAATTATCATGACTGGGCATGAAGCTCAGTGGTAGAGCACTCGCCTAGCATGCTTGAGACTCTGAGTTCAATACCCAGTACAACAAAGGAAAAAAGTAATCGGTGAGTAGCCGGAGATTTAGCTCAGTGGTTCTGTGGCCTGCCTCGAAGGCAGGACCAGTGTTCGATCCCCGGTACCAAAAAAAAAAAAGTAATCAGTGAGTACTGTCCCCTGAATTCTTTGCATGTTACCCTCCTCCTCCACACATAGGAGGAAAGAACAAGAAATTTCACAGAATTTCAGTATGTGGAAAAGTTTTTGTTAATGTAAATTACACCTTTTATTTGTAAGGTACTGGCATTCAGCATTATTCTTTAGGAACTTGTAGTTGGGAGTAATATCTCACTAACATACAGGAACTGTATTTAGTCTCAAAAATGAAACCACCAAAAAAGCTTTTTTCTCACGGGAGGGAAAATTTCTACACATTAGCAACCCAGAATTTTTAAAAGCCAAATTGTGTGTATAGTCCTGAGCCAATTCTAATTAAAGCAAATTCTTCATTGGTTTCACTTGGTAAAATACCAAGGTTAACTACTATTTTAGACTACAAAACAAATCTCCAAACCTTACCTTAAATCTCTAAACCCGCCCTGATATAGCAACCATTAGCCACGAGGGGCTAATGTACACTTGCAATGTGTCCAGTCACAATTGAGTTGTACATTTTGTTGTTCTGAAGACAAGATCTCACTATACTTCAGATTGTCCTTGAACTCACAATGTAGCCCAAGCTGGCCTCAAACTCGCTATCTTCCTGCCTCAGCTTCCTGAGTGGTGGGATCGAAGCATGCACCACCACCAGCACTGAAAGGTGCTCTTCAATGTAAAGTACACCACTTGGGATTTCAAACAGTACTGAAAATTGAATGTAAAATTAAATAATCATTAAAATCATTAAATGTAATGATTGTAATTGTTAAAAAAACTTTCACATTAACTATATGCTGAAATGGGTTTTTATAAAATGGGTTAAATAATACTAAAATTAGTATATTTAGTATCATCTTTTTTGTGTAGTGGTGGTACTAGGGACTGAACCCAGGGCCTACACACCGAGCTACAGCTCCGGACACCACTGCCCCCCCCCACACACACCTTTTTTACTTTAAATGGTCTCACTAAATTGCCTAGGCTGGGCGATCCTCGATCCTCTTGCTTCAGCCTCCCGTCTCTCGGAGGCTGGGACAACAGGCGTGCGGGGCCACACCCTGCTGTGTTTGCTTTATTAAGGTCGCTACAGGAAAACTTTTGTAGTTTACCGTGTGGCTCACATATTTGTGCTCGGCCGCGCAGCCCTGAGCCTTGGTTACCTGGCTGTTGAAATGGGGGTCACCTCACACAGTTATGATGATTCAGTGAATCAACGCAGGTAAAGACTTAGCTTGTATTTCCTGTTAACCACCACAGGGCAGATGCCCAGGCAGGCGCCTGAGCCAGACGCTGAGCAGTGCTGGGAGCGCGGTCACCTGGCTTTAGCCTCTCCGGGACGCGTCCCTCTCCCCTGAACGCGAGGCCGCCCCTTGGTCTGTGGCGTTGGAGCGCTGGGGACGACTGAAGGCGCCCGGCAGGGCCCGGAGGCCGCGAGCCCCGGCCTGTGTGGGGCACCGCGCGGGAGACAGCGCCCGCCGCGCCCGCCCCGCCCGCCACCTACCTGCGGCGCCGAGTCCCCGAACGCCGCGGTTGCCGCACCACCTGACGCCAACACGGCGTCCGCTCCTTCCGCACAGCCCGCCGGCTCCCGCTCCATCGTCGTTCCGGCCACCAGGCTGCTGGTCAGACAGGGAAATGGCCGATTAGCCCAATTCCATCCTCCGCCTACCCGCCCAGTGGCTGACGGAGCGGCCGCACGGGAAGAGGGACTCACGGGCGGCACCGCCCCGCCCCATCCCGTCACCCGGCCGGGCGGCCTGCGGGGGGCGGGGCCGGCTGGGGGCGGGGCCGGCTGATGGGCACTTTGGGCACAGCCACCCGGAGACTGGGAGTCAGTTGCGGGTCGCCCTGGGGCAGACAGGGCGGGCCTTCTGTGCCGCAGCTTCTGGCCGAGCCTGTCGCGGAGATCCCGGTCCCCCCAGCACCTGCCGTAACTTGCACCTCGTATTTTTTTTTCCACCATAAGTTTATTGGTACATTTTAGGTATAAAATACATTTACATACATCATTGGGATCTTGTACCATTCCATGAGTATATTGGTTCTTATTTTTTTCCCCCTTCCCCAGCCCTCCCCTCACCCCCTCCATCCCTCCCCACTTGCAAAGATCCCGTTTCCATTTTTTTCCCTTTCTCATATATTTTTTCCCCTTTCCTCTCCCCCCTTCCCCGCCCCCCTAGACCTTTATTTCCTATTACACAATATCAATTACACATTTTTGAAATTAAAATATCAAGACCTAGGAGACATTACCACAGATTTTACGGAATTTAAAAGGATATAGAAAGCATCTATACAAAAATCTGTTTTGAAATAAATTTGACAACTTCTAAGAAGTACCTTGGAAGACAAATTAATGAAACTAACTCTGGAAGAAATATAAAATTTGAATAGCACCTATTAAAGAAAGTATATTCCTAGCTTGAAAACCTACCTATATGACAACAGGCTTGTATACATTTTGACTGATAAATTATATCAAACATTTAAAGCAGAAAAAAAAGGAACACTTCTCCCCCCATTTTAGGAAATCAACATTGTGCTAATCCTAAAACTGGATAAAGATAATAGAAGAAAAAAATATGAACATAGAAATTTGTTTAACAAAACAAACTAGAAGTCAGATCTGGCAGTATGTAGAAAGTGGTTTTGACGTCTTTCAACACTGTTTTTTTAAAAAAAAACTTTTCTAGGTCCTTTGTACTCCTACATAACTTTTAAATTTCAATATCCAATTCTTCATTTATAGCACGTATACACAGACCTGAATTTTTATATATACCTTGTGTTTTCTAATCCTGCTAAATTCAAATACATGTTCTAGGGGCTCCTAGAGATTTCTTAGTATTTTCTCTGTAGATGATCATTTCATCTACATATAAAGATTTTGCTTCTACCTTGCCAATCCTATCCTAATTGTGTCATTTTATTGCCAGACTATTTTGGTTGGGCCTAGGTTTCAAAGTTTAATGGACAGATAAAGAGTAAGCATATCTGCCCTTGTTCCCCACCTTAAGGAGAAAGCATTGTATCTTCTCCATTCATATAAGGCGTTCTCACTGGAAGTAGGGAGTACATGTCTTTAATCTGTTGAGAAGGTTCTGTTTTACTTCTAGGCTCCCGATAGCTTTTACCATGAACAGCTGTGGAATTTAGTCCAATACTTTTTCTCCAACTAGTGACAGGATCATATGGCTTTTTCCTTTCCTCTGTTAAAATGATGACTTTTGGGGGTGGATCTTCCAAAGCTGAACCAACACTGCCATCCCTATAACAAAACCACTTTCTGCACCTCGTATTATTATTGACAGCTAAGTTAGGTAGAAATATTCTAGGTAGTCAGACAGGGCTGGGCCCTCCAGGGAGTCAGTGCAGAGGACAAGAACCGCATTACAGCTGCAGCTGGAGGTGCAGAATGACCAGGCCTACGTAAGTCCCTGAGAAATAAGCAATATACTACAGTTTAGATAGACATCAGTCACCATGGTGGGTGACCAAGACCCCCTGATTCATCTCTTCCTAAAACAGTCCTTGTTTTCTCCATTTATCCTTGCCACATGACCTGCTTCCCCACAGGCTCATATTACCTAAGCAACTATACTTGTGAGCTTATCAGTTGATCATAGTTTTGACCCACGTTGTACCCACTATGAGATTTTGTACCCACCTAGTGATTTTGACCTATAAAACTTTCATGGTCCATGGCAGTCCACTTTCGGGTCCCCTCCTGTCTCAGAAGCTCTCTCGCAATAAATATTTCCTGTTAACCTCTGTTGTTCCTTAGAATTTGTTAGTTGATAGTGGGGAACACGAACTCGGTGTGTCTGACATTTAATAGGTTGGGAGTTAACATTTATTTCCCCCGTATTTCCCCCATATCACCTGAATCTCGATCTGCGGATTTTGACACAGACCCTCACCAGCCCAGTGCTGGGCAGAGCATAGTTTCTGCCCGTTTAAAGCAAGGATAGCTGTATCAAAAGCTAGTGATGAGGCCGGGGATTTAGCTCAGTGGTTCTGGCGCCTGCCTCGCAAGCACAAGGACCAGAGTTCAATCCCTGTTACCAAAAAGAAAAAAAAAGCCAGGGATGAGGGCTGGGGATTTAGCTCAGTGGCACCGCAGCTGCCTTGCAAGTGCAAAGTCCTGAGTTAGATCCCTGGTACAAAAAAAAAAAAAGCTAGTGACGAGATGTGGTTACTGAACATGTGAAATGTAATACCTCCAGTTTCTAACATGGATGCCAGTCCAGCCAAAATACCCTTGTGCCTGCTGGACATGGTGGCGCACACCCATAATCCCGGCACGTGAGGGGCAGAGGCAAGAGAATTGATGTGAGTTTGAGGCCAGCCTAGGCTACATAGTCAAGGCCAGTCTTAACTACGTAGTGACACCCTGTCTCAAAATGAAAACCCTTGTACCGAGTGTGGTAGCACTGTAATTCCAGCTACCCTGGAGGCTGAGACAGGAGCATCCCAAATTCAACAACAGTGTGGACAAATTAGTGAGGCCATATTGCAAAAATATGGAGTTAGAGGTGTGTAGTTCAGTTACAGAGTGCATGCCTAGTATGTGTGAGGCCCTAGGGTCAATCCTTGGAAAGGGGACAAAAAAACCACTCAAAATCAAGTATGATTTTTGTGATCCTTTTGTACTATGTAGTTGAGGCTGTTCTTGAAATCACTATATAGCCCAGGCTGGCCTCAAACTCAAGATGATCCTCTTGCCTCAGCCTCCCAAGTGCTGGGAGTACAGGCATATGCCACCATGCTCGGCTACTACGTGTGAATGTTGACGTATAGTTGTCTGAACTACTAAAGTATACTTTTTCTGTAGAAAAAGTGAGAAGAACTGATGGGAGACCAAAGGTAATAGCAAGCTTAAATCTTGGCAAACATGAATATTTTATGTTCTAACAGGGCCGTGTGTGTGTGTGTGTGTATGTTTCAAGAGGGGGGACCGCTGACTCAGTTTTCCTAGTGTTCAACTAAATTAAAAAATCCTGACTGCAGCCAGCACAGTGGGACAGTCCTGTAGTCCCAGCTGCTTGGGAGGCTGAGGCAGGAAGATCACAAGTTAAGAGACTAGCTTGGAGAATTTATAGAGACCATGTGTTAAAATGCAGTGGTGGTGGGGGCATGCCCCTTGCTTTTACCCCTGAACTGAGTTGGTGGGAAGCTGCACGATTTTAACATTAAACTGTTGGGGTAACCAGGTAAAAAATTTTCACAGCTATGTAGCTAGAGGTCAAAAGTAATATACAGGGGGCCGGGGATTTAGCTCAGTGGTTTCACTGCCTGCTGTGCAAGTGCAAGGACCCGAGTTCGATCCCTAGTACGACAAAAAAAAAAAAAAAGTAATATACACATTATTTTGGCCAAAGAAAATTTCATTTGGCAGCTTAAATTCCATTTTTGTGCAAGTCGCAATTCAGAAATGTCCCCAAATTTATAAAGCAGTATTTAGTATTCAACATGTCACGAGAAGGCCCAACTTGCCTACCCTTAAATGTTCCTTTCTCTTCTTAGCCAAGTTCTTTTTCCTTATACTCTGCCTACTTACTCTTGTGGACTATCCTTATTAAAATAGTCTCAAAACAAACCCAAAAACATTAAACACAAAGAACAATCATTTGAAAACCACCTACACTTTAAAATTGGTTGGAAATCCATAACGCTCTCTATTGTGATAATCAAGTGAGCTTGCTATTGAAGTAAACAATTTAATAATATGATCTGATTCTGTGTGGTGGCATTAGCAAGGGGCTGGAACAGTCCAAAGCAGCAAAACCAAATTGCAATGAACTGAAAATGAAAACAGACAATTGTTAAAGATTTCATGAATGGACTTTCATAAACAACACAGCTGTAGGTTGTATGGATTCAGAATCTCTTCCTTCTTACTGGCAAGAAGGGAAAAACGGGAAAAAGTTTTTCGTTGTTTTTATTTTTTTGAAGCAGGTTGAAGTGACTACGTTATAGTTCAGGCTGGCCTTAAGCTTGCTCTATAGCCTAATCTGATCTCAAACTCACAATCCTCCTGCCTCAGCCTCCCAAATACGGTACTGGGATTACAGGTATGCGCCACCATGCCCGGCGAAAAAACAAAACAAAACAAAAAACACAAAAAAACCCAATCTTTAGTATTAAAAATGTGATGTTTATGTTATGCATTTTATTTTCCAAATTGGCAATTAAACATTCAACTACAATTTTCACTGCTGAAGCAATATATTTTCACGGTTTACAAGTACTGTACATTTATTCATTTACTGAAAATTCAAACTCCGAGTTATGTTCCAAAATGAACTGGAAATGTTTCCTAAAATCAGTAATTTTAACACAAATATGCACATGAAGAGTTTATTACAAATCAACAATTCAAATCAACATAAAAGCATAAAATTCTGTTGATTTTATTTGGGGCATTTATATTTTTGTCAGTATTTCCAAACTATCATAGCTACCCTATCCCTCAGATAGTTATCTATATCCTCTTTATTTTTTTAAAACAAAATGGATCTTCCAAACTTTACAAAAATGAAGACACAAAATAATCTACATAGTATAAGTCTGTTCATATAAATTTCGAGATCAATGCTTTAAAGAGTTTGGCATATAAAATACCCACCTATAGGGCTATAAAGAAAAAAGGATAAAATGCTAACAACTGGGAATTTAGGTGAGTAGCATGAAAAGGTTCATTTTACAAATTTGCTACTTTCCTTCAGGTTTGAGATCTTTCAAAATAAAAGGAT